TGTATCCAGTAAGGATCAGATCCTTAGCACCATACACGAGCATATAGTTCCTCGTTCTCCTAAGATACTTGAGGATATTTTTAACGGCAGTCCAATGATCATATCTTGGATTAGACTGATACCTGCTGACTATCCCTACTGCATAGCATATGTCAGGTCTAGTACATAACATARCATACATTAAGMTTCCAACAGCTGAAGYGTAGGGAATATGTCTCATCCCCTCAATTTCTTGAGGTGTCTTAGGACACTGTTCCTGAGACAGGTGAATTCCATGTCTAAAAGGTAATAAACCTCTTTCGGAATTCTGCATCTTATATCTAGACAAYATTTTGTCGATATAAGTTGCTTGAGACATGGCTAGTGTCTTGTTCTTTCGGTTCCRAACTATTTGGATCCCTAGAACATGYTGTGCATCTCCCAAATCTTTCATTTGGAATTGCTTAGCTAGCCATTTTTTAACGTCAGACAGAAAACCTACATCATTCCCAATGAGTAGGATGTCGTCAACGTACAAAACTAGAAACGCTACAGTGGAATTGACGATTTTCTTATATACACAAGGTTCGTCAACATTTTGCTCAAAGCCATAAGATTTGATCGCAATATCAAATCTTATATTCCAGGACCGAGATGCTTGCTTCAATCCATAAATGGATCTYTGAAGCTTAMAAACCTTTTGTTCTTGGCCCTGTTCAATGAACCCCTCTGGTTGGACCATATAGATACTCTCTTYAAGACTTCCATTTAGGAATGCTGTCTTGACATCCATCTGCCAAATTTCATAATCATAAAAAGTGGCGATGGACAAGAGTATCCTAATCGACTTTAGCATGGCAACAGGAAAGAAAGTTTCCTCATAGTCAACTCCCTCTCTCTGGTTGAAACCCTTTGCCACAAGTCGAGCCTTGAAAGTCTGTACTTTCCAGGTATGGTCTCGTTTTCTCTTGTAGATCCATTTACAACCAATTGGCTTTACGTCATTTGGCTGATCTACAAGAACCCAGACCGAATTGGAATACATTGATTCCATTTCAAGGTCCATGGCTTTTATCCATTGGTCTCGGTCCACATCATTCATCGCCTGTTTATAGGTTGATGGATCATCTATGCCGTCATCTGGTATGACGATTTGAGTTTCAGTTAAACCCAAGTAACGGTCAGGCTGAAGAACAACCCTCCCTCTACGTCGAGGCATTCTCAACTCATGAGAAGGATGTGACTGACCATAAATGTTAGTTCCATCAACTACTTTAGTTGATGAACTAGCTCTTTCTGCAGTGTTTTTGGACATCTCATTCAATACTAGCCTACTTCGAGGTTGATGACTCCTAATGTGGTCTTCCTCTAAGAATGTGGCATTTGTCAACACAAATACTTTATTCTCTTGAGGATTATAAAACAAACCACCTTTTGATTCTTTTGGGTAACCTACAAATAGGCATAATTTTGAATGTCGTTCTAATTTCTTAGGGTTTTGCACCAACACGTGTGCTGGGCAGCCCCAAATCCTAAAGTGACGTAAACTACCTTTACGCCCTTTCCATAGCTCATAAGGTGTATCAGAAACACTCTTAGAGGGAACATTGTTCAAAATGTAGACAGCGGTCTCTAACGCATGTCGCCAAAAGGAATCAGGTAATTGAGCATAGCTCATCATAGAGCGAACCATGTCTAACAAGGTTCGGTTTCTTCTTTCAGATACACCGTTCTGTTGAGGCATATTAGGTGCAGAAAGTTGTGACTGAATTCCATGTTCTATCAAATAGTCTTGGAATTTCAAGTCCATGTACTCTCCAACTCGATCCGATCGAAGTGTCTTTATTGATTTACCTAATTGGTTTTCAACTTCTGCCTTATATTCCTTGAACTTTTCAAGGGTTTCAGACTTGTGATGCATTAGGTAAATATGACCATACCTAGAATAATCATCAATGAAGCTGATGAAATATTCATACCCACCTCGAGCTCTTACGTTCATCGGTCCACAAAGGTCTGAGTGAACGAGCTCTAAGGGTATCGTGGCTCTAAGACCTTTTCCAGTAAAAGATCTTTTAGTCATCTTTCCCTCAAGACAGGACTCGCACGGTGGTAAGGAGTCATCTTCTAACTTA